CGAACAATTAATGCTGAGGGGAGTGGAGAGCCGGGCAACGCGTTGGCGTACCATTTCGGAGGAGTAGAACCCGAGATGGTCGTTCATCCCGACGAGTCTGAAGCACAAACGAATATCAATTCGCCCTCCCCCCTCAAATCGAGAAACTACAGAACTACAAAGGACCAAATCTAAAATTCGTACTAAATCGACTATCAAATTATAACATTTGTAGTTTGTCTGATTGTTTTCGATAATTTATCAATGACTGCAGTAAGTGTAGAAGGTGTCCATTTCAGAAGCCCGAAAAATTAAAAAATACTTGTAATATTTTTTCGTCTAGGTTTAAATGAGTATTTTTTTAAACATTTGTTGTCGGGATACTTCACTTTTCACTATTATTAGTATCGACCACTTTTTCACTTACGATCGCTCTGGATCAAGATATGGTCTTGAAGGAAAGAGCAAATTCAGTTGTTACTCATCAGGGCAAAACATTCTACATACTTAATCCATTATATTTAGTGATCTAGTGACACAATTACTTCTTTCAATTAATTAATCTTTCTATGTAAGGTTTTGGTTGAAATGGAAAAGTTAGTGTCACGAGCGGGATTCGAACCACGACCTTCGGCTCAATACGCCGCAGCTCTAACCACTTGAGCTATCGTGACTCTACATACTGACTTTTTATGTTTTACAGGTGATCTCAAATTTTCTTGAAGAACGACTCAGTCCAAACATTGCTAAAGACTGTCAAACAAAAAATTTATGATTGTTTTGCACTGATGATGGCATTAGAATAGGTCGAAAGCTTTCCAATAAAAACTGAATTTGCTTCTTTTCTTTCAAGACCATACCTTGATTCAGTGTTAGAGAGGATATTTAAGAGCCAGTATAACTTTAAATTTTCAATGAACCTACATTTGTTTTTACCCACTATTTAAAAAGATATTTTGCATTAAAATCCACGGCGCAATCAGGTTTTAAATTGGGCAAAGAATAACAAAGTTATGGCACATAACGCGATAAGAAAAATATTAATTTTGCTCTTATAATTAAGTATTTTCATTTTTGTTTTGGCGTTTGTCGGTTTTATTCTTGGGATGATTTTGATGGGTCTGCTAGCGGTGGGTGCACGCATTTTTAGTTAAGAAACTTGTAATTTTTACAAAAGGTAGTCTACATGTTTTGAGCTTTTCTGTGTTCCTGTTTGTGTTCTTGATGTTTTGTAACAACTCCTCCAGCTTAGAATGTTTTGTTATTTTGGGTTTGTCATGTATCGCTCTTTTATGTTTTTCACGTGACATTGTTCTTAACAGTGGCCTGATTAAAAAGAAAGTTCAGTTGTATTAGAATTAACGAACAAATTACTTTTGAAAGTAATAATGAAAACAAACTGAGATTTTCCATAAGTTTGTTTTTCTATTCACTGTAAAAATCCTTTAAAACAGTAGGTAAAAAAAGTGTACATTAAAAATTTTAAAGTAGGCTCTGAAGTATTTTGACAACAAATAGTTAAAAAAACGATAACAATTTAAAAATAGTTTAAGAAATATTATATACGTATTATATACGTTATCTGTTCAATAGAAATTCAGCCGGTCTATCTACAAAAGACACGCTGTACACTTTGAAAGATATGATATCATCTGTAAGAAAGCAGCGGTAAGCATTTTAAAACACAGTTAAATATTACTACATAACAATCTAACAAATCAATTAGCAATAATTTATGATATTATACGTCGAAATTTTGAAGTTTAAATTCTTTATATTTTGTTTCATACAAAAATCATAAAAATTGTTAAGAAGCTGAAGGCCAAAAGCCTCTCTTTATTGTTATTTATGTTTGTTAAATAATTTACAAGTACGTATCAGTTGTTTTGGAAAATAATACTGAACTATTCACTTGAATCAAACATAGCATCATTTTGGTACATCGTCATATTAATAGAAAATGAGTATGGATAATTAAAAATCGGTAGTTCCAATGCTTTGGTATTCATGGATGTTTTAGAATAGCACTGACTCCTAAAGGTTTCGACATTTTGATCAAATTTTATATGGTGATTTGAAACAAAAACCTAAGAGAGGTAGTTATGGTACCAAGGCATGCATTCTGCTAATTTATAGATAACTAATGTCTATATCCTTCTTATGATCGTAACTAGTGTCTAAAAAAATTATAAAAATTGGACCAGTGGATTTTGAGATTACCTCTCACATACAAACCAACTTTCCTTATTTATAATGTTGGTATAGATGTAGTTTAAAAACATTAAACAAACAAACCAAGTCTGTTTCTTGATGAAATTCCAAAATTCGTGCTATCAGTGGCATAAAGAAACTTTCGAGATAAACAGCATACCAAGGGGAGAGTGTAATAAGAAAATAACTTTCATGAACCGTTTCACATTATCATTACACGTTGCTTACGTGGAGTACTAACTTTCCAGTTCTAGTTTTGTACAAGAACATTACAACCTAGATTCCGATTCGTTTCTCTGTAATCACTGGTTGTATTTGGCTCCGTACGTTTTCCCCTGGGACAGAGGGAAAAAACGGCTCCTTTCTCATTCAAATTCAAAATGATATTCTTAAAGGGCCATCGGGGTAAAAATGGACCGAAAAATGATCCATATATTTGAGTAGGTATAATTAAAGGATGCTAATTGGCGCTACCTGTCTTGGAATGCGCCCTCAGGTCTAATGTCGTTTCCCAGCTCATTCTCAAAAGAAATAAGATGAGCAACAAAAACTCACTCGCTTCACATTCATTAACTTGCCCCTTTTCAATTATGTCGTTGGCCTTCAGGCGATTACGTTTCATTTGTATGAAATATGTATGTATGTACAACAGCGTAAGAAACTTTGAATGTCCGCAATGTTGTCACATTAGAATTTACATATAAATATTTCTTTTTTTTAATCTTATCTTACACCCAGCTATTTTGGTCCGCACTTTTTCGTTAAATTTTGTCAATTTCTAGTTAGTTAATCGATGGAACACATGTTTGATGGAATATTGAAAGCGCCATTAAAACATTACATACATGCTTATGCGGGACGGTAATTAGAAAACAAAAAAAATTATTATTTACTATTAAATTATTATTAACAAAATAAAAAAGTTTAAAATAAGCAAGGTGATTCTGATTTAATTCAGATTTAATGTTCCAGTAATAATATATTTTAGCCCATACACCTCCCCACATTTTCAGAAATTATATACGTATATATAATGTGTGTGTGTATCACTCCACACCTCCACATAAAATGTATACATCGCTTGCTACTGATGTTCACAAACAAATAATAAAAGTATATTGTAAATATTTTGACAAAAACAAAAAAGAAGATAGTTTTCGAATCAAGTTAAGCATTAACTTTTTTATGTACTTGCTTTAGTAAAGCACCTATGTTTCGCGGTGGCAAAGCAAAGAACCTGCAGACAATCCTCATCACTAGTTAATCGATGTAAAAAAGCTTTTAAAGTCTCGACTTGGCGTAACACGGTGGTTTTATTGGGCATAAAACTGCTTTATTCCTTTGCTTCTTTTGGTCGGTACGGCTTGAATTTTTCTCATCGTTACGTACCTGTTTCAGCTCGGGAGAAACACTTCACTCACGTTTCTGATTAGATATGGGGTTCCACTACCTCGGCTACCAACTACCTGACCCCGGCCATTTTATAATCATAAACCAAAATCTTCTATGAAAAAACCCCGAGTGTATATTTTTTATGGGATTGGTAAGCTTGGTAATTATTAATTGACATATTCAACCTGCAAAGAAAGTTTTTTTTAGAAAATCGATTTTGTACTCAATTAAAACAAGCACGATGGGAAGATAAGTTATGATGTAATAAGTGTTAACTGATAAGTTATTAAATTAAAATCATACCTTTGTCCTTGAAAGAGAGATTTGTCAAATCACAAACATACAAAAGTTAATTAGTTGTTAAATTTTTGTGTTCTTATTTGTTTATTATATTTAGGCTAACAGACTGTGATGATGTACGTGACAATAATTAATTGGGTTGAACAGTCGCTGTGAGGTAAATGAAATAGACATGTTAGAAAGTGGCAAATTAAATCTTATTATCAAATAATAAACTGTAAGGGGTTGTTCTGGACTCTAGTTTTGAGGCCACATTTTTTCGAATCCTGCTTTCTAACACTGATTTTTTGTCAATATAGTATAAAAAGGCTGATAATTGAATAAAATAATAATATATTCTTTTACCAAGTAACGAGTTCATCCATATAATGTAATATATCTAAGTGAGTGAGTGCGTGAGTAACGGGGCGATTGAGTAAGTGGATGAGTGGGGGTGAGTAGGTGAATGGGTGAGTGAGTAGAGAGTGGGATGTTAATGAGTGGGTGAGAAAGTGAGTTAATGAATAGGTAAATGAGAGCGTCAGTAAGTACGTGAGTGAGTAAGTGGGCGGGTGAGTGAGTGAGGAAGTAAGTGAGAAAATGGATGGGTGAGAGATGGAGTGAGTGACTAAATTGTGAGCGAGTGAATGAGGCAGTGGGTGGGCAAGAGAGTGAGGAAATGGGTGAGTGAGTAATTTTTGAAAAATGAGTAACGAAGTGGAAAAGCGAATGAGTGACTGAGTAGTTCGTGAGGAGTGAGTGGGAGCTTGAAAATTAAATACATAGAGATAATTGATAAGACAATTATATAAGATTTCAACAAATAAAACTCATTTAACGAAGAAATAAATGAGCTTGTAATAATAAATAACAATTCCCGTTAATATATTCGAAATTATTGAAATACACATCACATAACCCTACAGTTTATAAAAAAACAAGAAACCGAACTAAAATACTTCGCCTCCTTATAAGTTATGTTACTGAACTCATTTCTGCAAGGTCTTCTAATGGAAAAGGGCAAGGTTTAAAAGAACTTGCCAATATATTTTCCTTTGACTGACGTACGTGAATGACGAGTCAGAGTTAAAACTAATTGTTTTTATAGAATATTATTAACAGCAAAAAGAGTGACTCACCTAAAAGGACGGAAAGGCCGAAAAGATCTGTGTCGAGCATGCCCTGGGCCTTGAGGTACCCGCATAGCTCCGAGTACAGCTCTTTAGTCCTCGACTTGGGCTGCCGAAACAACACATTACATTAGTCGGTTTGTCGAATAACACAAAATAGAGTTTCTTCTTACCTCGACCAGAAAATACAGTGGATCACCTACGAGGAAACGGATTTTGACATATCGGGAACAAGGCTGTTGTACACCTTGTGGCAAAGTGTGGTAGGGACCGGCCACTCCAACACGCATGCTGCATCCTGCTAGCTCTACATATCAACTCCTTATCTGAAAAAAATGAATCAACGGTGAAAAAAATTATAATCACTGTGCACGTTTTTATTAAGATAAATGTAACATGAGAAGGAAAAAATCATAACAACAATACTTCAAAAATTCACTAATTTCGTGGTCCGCTTGACCAATTCGAATCTCGCTCGTGCCATTGACTTTTTTATCTCAACTAAAAACCTTAATTAATTGTAATACTTCAAAAATTGAAATTTATAAAATGAGTGTTTTGAGCATATAAGAACGAAGATAGTATATAATTACAGAAATACATTCGGTCTCAATACATTATGTTATTATTGATATTACAATACACATTGAAAATAATTTGTGGCATAGTTATGAACAATCGTCTTCAAAAAGTTTTTCTTACAGCCTCCTAGATGCATTAAGTGAACGTTTATTGAGTTTCATCTCTAGTCCTAATTTAATTTTAACGTCTCTTAATACAAAAGAGATAAATGATTGCGGAATTTCAAAACAATTCAGTCTTAAATTAAATGTAGTTCACACAAACTGATGGAGGAAAAACAAGAAGTTTTCTGTTCACACAAGAAGAATAAAACATTTGTTACATTAAAAAATGCAGTTTTCCACTCTTGAAGCAACTCCATTTAAATTATTTACTGTGTTATCATGAAGCCTAGACGTAAAGAAGCTTACCTGGGTGGCTTTCAGTATGAAATAGGTGAGATCAGTAATTACAGTTACACGCCTGCTTTATCGTTTCGTATTGAAAAAACATCTCCATTATCTTATTAGCGGTTATAATTAAATTAACATTTTTTGGAATATTAATTATTGCGAAATGGTACGATTCAATTCAGGTTGCTTAACAAACACACGTTCTAATCGCTGGGAAATATTCCAAACTGATAGAGGCAAGCGGTATATCGATAAAATTCCCTTTGAAACATTGCACGATAAGAAAAGCTCCAATTGGGTTCGGATATTCTCGCTTCGATTATTTCACAGTGACACAATCAAAATACCGAAATTCGAGAAATCCCATCACGGTTAAAAATAGAGTTAGATAAATTATAAAATTGCTTTCTTTGATTTTGTACAAAAATTGATTATTTCTACTAGGCATATGATTAATTCAAAAACCATGCATGAAATGATTAAAATTTTATTTAGCATTTAATTATTTTTTCAATTATTTGCTTTAAATTGTTATCGGAATTTTAATATTTCAAAACCCCTGCCGAATTTGCAATATAAATAAAGACATTATTGCAATATTGTTCAAATTAAATAATTCGATGTTGTTGACCGATTTAAAATGTTTACAATGTAACAAGGTTTATATTTAGTATTAATCTCACAAGCTCAAAATACTGTATGTTGAAGATTTCTTGTATTCTAATTTAAAAAAACCACTTGTTTAAAGTACATTTGAATATTGTACTGAATACCGTTAAATTGATCGAAGGAATTTACGATCATTTATAGTAGTATTGGTATGTGAGTTTACTTAGAACAACTGTTAGAATTTTGAATAGATCTTTGGACTTGTAGACGCTGGAGAATCAATTTAGACTTATGTTTATTTACAGGTACAAATAAGGTTTTGCAGGTGGTGGCGTGTTTTAAAATATTTAGAGCGACAGTGGTATCCGTCAACGTTTTTACGAGGGAAACGTTTAACCTTTAGGCATGGTGAAAAAGAGAAACAGTGCCGCATGCAGTCTCAGCCGAAAAGGGGCATGGAATTCTGTTGATGTGTGAAACCGTGAGGAGGCAGCGTCGATATCCAACACGTCCCGAAAGAAAGGGACAACCAAGCGGGCATTGTGTCCTTTTCCTTCTTTTTCTTTCTCGTAGGAGGAGGGCAAACAATGTTAAGTATGTGTGCCCGTTCGAGGGAGAGGCACTGATACCCTCTTACTTTCACTGTCCGGGTCATTCGCCTCTTTCCCACATTAATTCCGAGAAATTCCATACTCATGGAGCAGCCCAGCTTTTTCGCTCAATTGAGCTGTCTTCGGCGGATATCGTAATGGCTCTTTATTTATTACGCTTCCATGGATCTAGAACTGGATCAAGGAAAACTCAGAAGTGCATTGAAAACTAGATTCCTTCATTCAATTTTCTCCTCCTTAACTAGAACCGGAATATAGATATGCAAAAACGCCTTTTTTTCATCAAATGATACGTGATAATCCCGGCAAATAACTGATATTAGAAATCTCGCTCATTTCGTACTCAAAGCCGCAATGGAATGCATCTCCGCACATGCAGTTTTCATGGTGTGTTGTTCGAAATATATCAAATTATATGCCGCCAGATATGCAATCGAATCCGATGGAAAATTTATACACAGCATTTAAACAGATAAATTACAACATAGGAATATTTCTATCCTCTGGTAATAATTTGCCTAAGTAACAACATACTTTATACGCCATAGTTCAACTGGGTAATTCGGCTTGCAACAAAAAAAAAAAAAAATAAATAACATGGTATCTTTTTTATCAAATATTTTGAACAATGGCACAAAATTACACGTGCTTTACAGCGACGTTTGTAAACAAAAAGAAGAAAAAACTATAACAGGCACAAATGGTTTTTCAGAATAAATTGTCGCAGATCAATTTAATATACAAAAGTTTGATTGTTTGATTTCAGATGAAAAAATATACCTTTATTTCGTTACAATTATATTTCATACAATATAACATGGACTATTGTAAAGGGAAAATTATTAACACAAACAGACATATTGGTCTATAAGATCAAATGATAATACGTTCATTTTGGAATGAAACTGAAAATGAAAATTTGGACATGAATTATATATTGTAGAAGAAGGATCGTCCTCACGGATTAATAATAGGACATGCGAGGATGACACACGAGTATTTGGGTCCCCTTATCCGGATCTTAGAAGAAACAGGGTTGTTGTTTTATATTATATAGTACTGATATTTCTGAATCTAGCGTTGAGATAAATGTAGTTATTAGAGTGAATGTGGCATTGTGAAAAGGCCAATGGCTTCCCCAACGCCCCTCTATTATATATAATAAGTGTTGAGGGTGATGGAGAAATGTCGAGTACTCCACCACGCTAATTGAGTATGTAAATCGGAAAGAATGTTTTAAGAATGAGTGGGAGTGTGCAAGGGTTTGGATCTACGAACTGGATGCGTTTGGTGCTGAATTGACATGCTGACAGAACCCGGAGCCCAACCTCGGTAGCAGGATAAATAAGACTGAAGTCTGTCACGGGACGGCCATCACCCAGGGATGAGTGATTATGAGGCTAAACTCTGTACATTTGTGTGCATGTGTATATACAAGTGTAGATTTGAGCTTATTTAAATCCGCAAGTTTATGGAAAACAAAATATTATTATTTAATTATATTCTAAATATCATATGAATGATATACTAAATATTATTACTGAATATTCCACTAACTAATGAAAGCTGCAATATAAACAAGAACCACAAAGTATAAACTGTTCTGAAAATAAAATAGTGGACCGAAATGTTTGTTTGTGTGTGCGGGCGTTTGTGTGTGTGTGTGTGGGGGGGGGTCTGGTTTGGTAATGAAAATAATATTGCGCATAATGTATATGTTTTTTATGTTTAAGATGAGTAAATCCGAATTCCTCAAAATATCATTCTTCACAGTTGAATAAATTGGGTTTGAATAAATAATTATATGGCAGGAAACCAACTGGCCGCAATACTATTTTCGCTGTTTTTAAGGACGCTAGTTTATATTTTATAGATATGATTTCAGCATGAAGGTTGAACACACCTCAAATCTCTTTCACAATCGGTTCCTCGTTTTATAATGATTTGAAAGATAATCTTCAGGTACTAATATGGTAACTACAACCTGTTATTTTTGCAGAAATGTAAGAAAAGTTTTATTGTGATAATTATTTCAATTATTTTCCGTATTCGTTGTAGTGTAATCTTCATAATCGATCAGAGTGCTACATTAAAAAATTCATAGGAAAAATGAAAATCAAGTTTTATATAACGATCAATAATATATATATGGTAAATTAACGGTCAATTTTCGCCGTAGTGTAAAATTTATCCAGATAAATTGCTTTCTGCTACTAGAAAGAAGAAAATCAGAGAAAAAGATGTGAGTGAAAAGACGGAGATGGTCGAAATAAGGGGCCCAAAGGCCGTTCGGGCCGGCAGATGGTCCCTCTCAGGAATTCGTCTGGGTGGGGCTTCGTGATTCCTTTCCGTGACTCCATGCCGGGTATTATTTTAACACTCATAATGATGAGGGTCCGTGTTTTGTGATGATGTCGAGGGGGGATGATGGAATGCAGTAGCTACCAGCCTTACGCTCGTGGGACCTTAGGTCTTCCAGGACCAGACCGACTCCACCTGCCCCCCTCGCCTTTCGGCCAATATCTCTATCTCTATCCAAGGCACGGGCTATAAATCTGAAATTATGCTTTCCCCTTGCATGCAAAACGTGTGAAAATAAGCGATCGCGTTGGGAAAAAAGAACTCGATTCGTTGAATATAAAAATGACGTTAAAAAAAATTAAACATTTAAATTTACCTCTTGATACATAAAATAACTTGGCAATGCAATTTCCCTTAATCTATAAACCAATTTATATATCCAATAAATGCTTAACTGCTTAAATAAGAACTTCAAACTTTGAATTTTCTTTGACCCGAATGATGAAATGAAATGTGGAAGCATCGTATAAAAATTTTTGGAAAAAAACTCGTAGCTTGTACCGAGACTAGGAGTAACAAAAAGAACTAAAGAACTATATAGTGTTATTTATACCCTATATTTCCATATTTTCAAAGTTTCCACATTTACAGTCTTGAATTAAAACTGTTTTCAGTCAAAACAGTAGTACTGAGCTCTAAAAATAAAGTTAATTAACGGGTGACGCAATTATACTAGATAAAACTGTGTTATGCAATTAAAAAAATATTTATTAAAATAAAATTTGATTCAATAAAAAAGCAAAGAGCGTATGTACGCGATCGGATTGTTGT